TAAGCATGTGCCCTAACAAAGATCTGGAAAGCAGAGGTCTCAGCCCCCTTTGGTTCTGCAGATAAGCACCACACTCTTTTATAGTCATTGTTTTAAAACTTGAAATGTGAATGATAATTGATAATCTGAACATTTGATGGAAACCAGTAATGCTATAAAATGGTTCATTAGCATACATGAAATGACTGAATTTTGTGGCAGGTTTTATAACATATCACTAGCTCATGGTCATTTTCGATGTGATGCCATTATAGTAATCAATTTTTAATTTTAGAAATATGCTTTATAAAACACACCATGAGAGATAGTTTACTGCTTAAATTTATTATAAAAAAAACCCTCAAAGTTTATTAAGCATCATTGAATCCATCAGCCTAACAGTGTTTTTCATTTTCTTTACAGATGAATAGGCAGCCTGTGATGTAGGTAAATAGTATTCTGAAATGTGCATAAAAAAAAAATTATTTGACCATATAAATGGCTGGATATATATATATATATTTTTTTTCACTTTAGGGGGCTGTAAAAGTATTTGCACAAAAGTAGAAAATCCTGGAGATAAAATACTCAGCAGGTATTGTTGCCACAAGTACAATTAGATCTGGCAATATTGTTAGGAACCATATGAGAGTGGTTATAATGTAAGTTTTCTTGATCATACAGATCTGAGGGAGGCAAATAGGGAAGTATATGGTCAGGTAACACTCTAAAGCCATCGCAGCAATCATGAAGGGATTGTTTAGATGGGAAAATATAGAAATCATGATAAAAATAATACAAAATAAAACACTGAGTGTGGAAATGTAGCCCAGGAACAAGAGAAGAGCAATCATTGTAAACATGATGATGTTGTTGATCACCACATGGATGTAGAGGATGTAACCAAAGCTCATGTTGAAAACCTGAAAGAAAAGACAAGATGCTCAGGTAATAAGAGGCAAAAAGGTCTAATTTTTTTAGGACAACCCATTATACAAATATTATAAAAAGTTCCTCGTCTTCTGTGTTGTTGTACACAGGTTTCTTCCATATGACTGAGTTAAACCGCTTTTCTTTCTGTTTCTTGTGCTCCCTCTCTAATCCTCCAAGTATGAATATTTACTCCAGTGCTGACTTCAAATCTTAGGTTTCCAACAGAAACTGATTGTATAGTTCTGCCCACTCTAGTTTGCTCTGTCTGTACTTAAGGAAAAAAAGTCTGAATATTCATGTTGCACTTATTAGGGTGACCATAGCTGCCTCAACCTGTAGTTGGCTAGCATGTTGGATTAGCTTGTTGGCTGGATTGGATTATTTGTAGGACTGACAAATCACAGAAAGATAGAAAGTTAAGACAAAAACAAACAAAGAAACAAAAAAAAAACTTTACTTTTTTGTTACCTTTATTATTAGATGCTTTTGTGAATGCAGAAACTCCTTAACCAAGGATTTTTGTGAAGCATGTCGGTGGTTGTATCATGATCTGGGCCAGTTTACAATATTTCCAGTAAAAAGACATTTTAATTTTTTACTTAATTATTGGTCAGTCCAATATGTTTCATTATTTTAAATACAGTGTTAAAAGAGGGGCTGTCCATGAATAAAATAAACAAACCTGAATTGACTGACTTTAACTTAACAAAACTAAGATGGGGACATAATCGAGATCACACACACTACCAATGTAACCATTAGTCTTCTCATTTATCGAAGTGTTTTTATGTAGAAGTATAAAATCATCTTGCTGTACTGCTGAAAGCAGGACATTTGAATATATTTGAGTTATACTCTAAATATAAGCACTCAGGTAAATTAGAATTAAGAGGAGAGATTTTTTTCTATCGTAATTTCAGTAGCTTAGTGTTCCTTGATTATGGTTCCAGAACAGTTTTGCATTAGGTAGAGTCATAAATTACTAAACATGTTTACTCAAGGAAGGCATGTCCAAAGTCGGTCCTCGAGGGCTGCTGTCCTGCAGGTTTCAAAGGCGCACGGCTGATTCTTTTGATAATAGTTCAGCAAAAGCTAATTAGTCAGAAATCAATAAAAAAATCAACTGTGCTGCAGCAGGGAAACCACTAAAATCTGCAGGACTGCTGCCCTCAGAACACTAGGATTCCTATGAGGGAAAATCTGGAAGAAACACTGCTTTTGCAGCTACAGTATATAGCTTTTTGTGACTCGCTTTTCCTCCCCCCTTTTTTTCTATTTTCTTTTTTTATTTTTAAGAACAATTCACTTAGATTTATTTTTTATTTATTTATTTATTTAGTTTTTTACTCACTTTTACAGTGTTGTGACACTCTTTGCTTGTGGCGTTTGGTGGTGCTAAACCTGGAGGTTAAAGTTCAAATGCCCCTATTGGCTAAAAGTTACACAGTATCGCTTCAAAATAATAGGAAAGCAGATGTTTTTGGGTTATTTTTTCTGTGCTTCTTTCATTGGGGATGTATTGCAGAATTGCCTGTTTATGGAACTAATGTAACACCATCAACTCACTAAAACCCTGAAAGCTACCTAAAAGTCCAATATAACAAAGAGAGAAGATAAAACCCTTTGCTGACTGAAAGCTTTGTTTTGTTTCTACAGACAAAACCTCAGTTGTGTATTGAAGTCAGAACTTTGCACTGTTCCACTAATTTTAACAAGTTTTATTTTCTCCTAAGCAATATGTAAAGTACCTAAGTTGATGAAGTGTTGCTTTGCAGACATTTTGTAGTTATTTTAAAAAGGACTACACTTGGAATTATTTTAACATATTTTTTTGTTATTGCAAACTGAAACACAAAAGAAACCTAATGCTAAGCTGTCAAAAAAAATAAAATAATAGTTTTAAGAACTTTCTATAGCCAAAACTCATTGTATGTGGTTCTTAAGAATGTGTAAATGACCCAAATGACAGAACCACTTATTATTTCCAATGTTAAAGGGTTAAAGACCAATTAAGGTTACCAGATTAAAAGACTATCTCAGAAAGCTGCATGGTTGGACCTTTATGCTAAATCCCCAAAGGGCAAAGGGTAGTAGATAATAAAAAAAATCCTTATTGGTTGATTATTTTAGCATTCTAAACATCTTTACATTTTACTTTTTGCTTATAGTGGTATTTGGCATTCTTTCATTTGCAAACAATACATCAAACCCTACCACTTGTGTTGATGGTCATGAACTTTAGCACTTTTTACATTTAAAGAGATAGAAAGAAAAATCTGTTTTTTTTCTTATTTAATTTATTTCGGAGTGGAATTTTGACTTTGTATGTAGTTAAAAAAAGGAAGAGCTAACATTCTAATCAAAGCCACTTTTAGGTTTCAAACCAGCAACTTTTTTATATTTTACCGGGCATATAGTCGAAGAATGTTAGCAAAATGATCAGATGTTTGATTTAAGAAATGTAACAGTTAAGTGTTTGGGTGATAAATAGTCTTTCTCCCGACTGAGGATCTCAGCTCCTCTGAATAAAAAATTTGCATCAGCAAGTTATCTAAAAATTGGTAAAAATATTTTTTTTACCTGAGCTGTTTTCTTTTTTTTAATGACGTAGTTAAAAAAATGTTAATATAGAATGTCCTCCCAGAAAAATCCATGATATTGAAAATGGTTCTTTCAGATTTTAATTTGGCCCTTTTTAATCTGTTCTGGATGAACAAGTGATTTGTTTGGTAAGAAGTATTGTTTCAAGTACTCTCTGAACACTTTGTCCCTTATGCCGTACACCATTGGACTGATGAGCCGGGGAAAAACCTGAATCAGTAGTGAAATGACATATCGAATAGCTACAGCATCTTTCGGAAACAAACTTGACAGGCCCTGTATCATTATACTGTGAAGATAACTTAACATGCATAACAGCAGCTGGAAGCCATGAAGTAAGACGGTGTTCCTCGCTTTCTTTGCATTTGCTGAAGCAGCTTTTGCAGTAAAAAGAATCCTAAAGTATGTGTAGAGAATAATCAGCCAAACAATGACTAGATACAAAATGTTGGACACATCTTTCTTTTTTTCAAGGATAGGACTTGAGAAAATATTAGCCCATAGGCAGAAAATCCTGGAATGAAAGTATCCTGCAGGTCTTGTGGCCACCACAATAAACAGATCTGGCAGGACTGTCAGTAAAGTTAGGAGCCATATCAAAGCCACAGCAATGTAGGTTTTCCTGACAGTGCAGATCTGAGGGTGGCGGAGAGGGAAACATATGGCCAGGTAACACTCTAAAGACATGGCTGCAAGGGTTAAAGGGTTGTTTAGGTTTGCAGGTAGGGCAATCATTAGCATAATGATGCAGAATGACACATTGAGTTTGAACAATATGTAACTCAGGACTTGCAGCAGGATCATCAATACCAGCATGATGATATCGTTGATTACCAGGTGGATGTACAGGATGTAACGAGAGTTTGAG